CAGGAACATCGCGGGGCAGGTGAGAGATGAAGGAAGCCACATGGAGCAGTGGCCCATGGGGACTGAGGACAGGAAGTGTTTACCTGATTGCACAGCCTGATAGAGCCTCCCGGAAACGCCAACGGGCAAGACGGGCTGGGACGCCTGAGCGTCAGACGCTACAGCCGCTGAGCCTCTGTGGTTGGTCCAGTCAAAGAGGAGTCGACACGCGGAGCCACGGGACTCGGAGGCAGAAGGACCTTCCAGCCACGGGACACCGCGGCGAGGCGCACGGCCTCGCTGAGGCAGCACATGAAGAACGAGATGGAGAGACCCAGGGATCACTTCCAGCTCTCAGATTCTGAGGTCTTTGGAAAAACCCAAGGTCAGGGGGGAAAAAAACAATTCAAACGTTTTTGTTGTTTCGGAAAAGTCAAGTGTAGAGAAAGGTACCAGTGAGCAAGCAGACACGATCTCAGCTTCGCGCTCGGAGCTGTCTCTGGGATGCCAGCACGCGTGTGCAGGCGCGTGTACACACGTGGTACCTTGCACAGGACCGTGCGTGCCTGGCTCTCTTCAAGGTGTCACAGGTGTCTTCCCACACCCCGTTGTGACTGCCAGCGTTTTGTTGGTTAGCTACATCGTAACCGACACGTAACCAGATGCAGGTCACTTCCAACGCACGGCGTGCGACTCGACACCAGCACCTTGGCACCTGTTTCTTTGAGAGTTCACCTGGCCTCTCCTCGGGGTCGAAGCCTGGGTGCTGTGCCTCCGCACACCTCGGCACACCACACGACGCGAGGCGGCCCCAACGCGCACGCCGCTCACAGCCGGAGTGGAGGCCGGCGTCACGGCTGCTGGGACAGCCTCTGCTGGCTCGGGTGCCACCGTCGTGGCCCAGAAACGTGAAGACACACAGCCGACTTCACAGGACACACTCGATCCCATTTCCTCCAACTGATCTCTGAAGTTTAGTTAAAATAAAACTAAAACTCAAACATAAACAGATCTCCCCACAACCGTGGTCACAGCGAGAGACCAACACCAGTGCGGGACGTCCAGGCGCTGAGCCCAGACCCGGGCGTGGCAACCCCGTCACCTCCCCAACCAGGTGACACCCGCTGCAGGGGGACCGCGGAAGGCCCGGCTGCTAAGCCCTCAGAATCGCAGCTGAAGACGTAGCACCGAAGACTCAGCAACGGCCCCTGGCAGCCCGTGCACCTGACCGTCTTCCACGGCCGACGACCCGCGGGTCCCCGGAAGTGTGGGCGTCGCGCACACCGAGGGCCGTGAGCTGCGGAGGAGCGGATGGCCGCCCATCTGAGGGGCCCCGCCCAGCGCTGTCCGCACTGTCACAGGAGGGCCAGGCCCTAACCGCAAACAGGAAGCGCTTTCTCTGTCTCACGCCAACCACCAACCATGAAAACAAGAGCCCCAGATGCAAAATGAACGGAAGCAAAGTTGGAGCGCGCGTAAGTCCCATTTACACCGTCTGTGTCGCGGCTCCCTGTGCAGCTTCATTGCGGAATCGCCGGCATCAAATATAAAGGGTACGGCTGGGGCGTTTTTGACCCTAACACGCGCCCATGAAACCACCGGCATAGCCCGGACCCCCAAGACGCGACGGCCCCCTCCCGCCCCAGCCCAGGCCCCAGCATCTGCATTCTGGCCCCACAGCTGGACCCAGTGCAGCACCAACCCAAACGTGACCCCACTGGGCACGGAGCAGCAGGCTTCCTACCGGACTCCGTCACCCAGAGGTGCCGTCGCGAGGGTCCCCGGGAACCGGCAGTGTGCCGTTCCAGGCACTGGTCCAGTCTGTCCTCACTCAACAGCCTTCGCCACTAACGCGGCTGCCGACGCCTGTGACCGCGTCTGTGCGCCTGTGACCACGTCTGTGCGCGTGCTTCCATTCTCCGGGCAAAGGATGGGGAACGGGGTGGCCGCATCGTGTGTTCCGTGCAGGTCTATGTTTCTAAGAGACCACCAGGCCGTTTCCCAAAGGGACCGTCACTCTCGCCGACACGCTCGGAGTCCTGACGGCCCCACGCCCTCACTGACACTGCGTGTGGCCCGTCCTGTTAGCCACGCTGACAGGTGTGCGGTGTGTCTTGCTGTGCTTTTAATTCACCTTTCGCTAACGACTAGCACCGAGGTTTTCCAGGGGCAAGTAAGCCATCCGAACATTTTCTCTGATGCCGAGTCCATGCGAATGTTTCCCCTGTTTAAAAATTGTATGTTCTTATTGTCTTATCGAGCCGTGACGATTCTTTACGTATTTTGGATGCGAGTTCCTCATGGGCTTAGGCGGTTTGCAAATATTCTCTCCCCTTTGGTGACTTCTCTTTTCGTCCTCTTAACAGTATATTTCAAAGGACAGAGGTTCTCGGTTTTAATGAAGCCCAATTCATCCATTTTTTTTCTTTTACGGGTTGTGGCTTTAGCATTGTATCTAGTAAATCCTTGCCTGACTCAATCCACAAAGATTTTTTCTCCTATTTCTTCCTAGCGTTTTACAGATTTAGGTTTCAGAGTTAGTGTAGCCCATTCTGATTTAATTTTGTGCCTGGGGTAAAAATGGTCCCTTATTTAAGACTTTAACTTCAGCTGCGTGGTGGCTGGGTTTCAGAAAACCATGTGATCAACCAAATGCAATGCATGAGCCTTTTTGGGCCTGCTCAGAACCATGTTCTGTGAACAGACACACGTGAGTGCTCGCCGCAGCTGGGGGACGCTTTAATCAGGCACGTGTGGACGAGCACGCATGCGAACCTTGGCGTTGCTCATCATGTGATTTGGGGTCACCCACCGGTGTATCCAGGCCTCAGGAAAACTCACGAACAGGGCTGGGGCTTGAAGCCAATTGCAAAGCCTCCAGACAATCAGCGAAGGGGCCGGGCCACCTGTCCCTAAGGCTGTAACTTGCTGTCTGACTTCCTAATTCTGTCAAAACACCAGTCACTTGATTCCTTGGCACAGGGGCCAGTCAGATCATTAGAAGCTCACGTCAATATGTTTGACTCTTGTGTTCACACGTTAGTGTTTTCTGTGGCATCGGAACCTGTTTAACAGCTGATAGAGACATTTAACGTGCGCCCTTTTCTCCCGGAAGCTGCCGTTAAATTGATACTGTGGCTTGTAATCGATGACATCTTGGAATTGGAGACACATGGCGACATGTGCTGTTTCTTGCTTTGGAAGCTGCCAGGTTGGGTCTGTTGTCTAAATTCCGGTCGAATTCCTTAGCTGACAGCTCCTGTCCCAGGGAGCACACGTCACATCTCGGGACGAAATCCCAACGTCCTCGTTTCAGTTACACCGAGGTGTCTCACAAGGATGATGACACAGCGTTCACTAAAGGATGCAGGAACAGCCCCGTGGTGTCCTGCTAGCTGCTCCCGCTTAGCGCCGAGCGAGGGCCACCAAGGCCCGCCGCCTTCGCTGCAGCCCAGGCTCCCACCACCCGCACGGGGACGCCACACCAAAGCCCCACAGATGGGAGGGTCTGAAGAGGGCCGGTGTCTTTGGGATCCCAAGCTGGCAGAGGCCGTGCACACAGACGCAGCGGACGCTGCCTGGGTTTGCATGGACGAACAATGCGATTCACCCAGCCCTCTTCCCACAGGTTTAAGGACTTCATCTACACGTACCGCATCTTCCAAGAGGAAAACGGATATTACAGCTTGCAGGTGAGAGCACGCAGGCGTCTGGGGGAGGCCACGGCCACCCCTCGACTGCGCCCGCCGAGCAGAGGTGTCGGAACGGGGGGACGCCGTGCAGAGCTAGCATCGCGTGATAATGGGGGCCCTGCCTTTCTCAGAGTATGGGGAGGCACTGGGTGTGGCCCTCTTTGTGTCACCAAGGTGGCAGGGACCTGCAGTCCTGGTTCCTTAGCCGCCAGCTGCATGCACCTGGGCTCCAGGTATGACGGCTGCCGACGAGGAGGCTAACAGACATGGGCGTCTGCGGGTTCGGGCGGTCGGGGCAAGGCCATCAGCGGGTCGTCCGCGGTCTCTTGAATTTTCCTGGTTTACTGAGAGCTGAGCTTAAAAGAGGTAAACTTTTTTGCTCCTTTTGAATTTCCTTCTCTGGCTCAGGAAGTAGTGTATAATCAATGTCCTTGACTCTTTAATTACCAGCGGGGGGTCTTGAAATGACCTTTCTGAAACACCTGCAGTTCAAGGTCAAGCAGACTTTACTGCAGGATTTATCAGGATCATCAAATGCTGGTATCCACTGTGCCCGTCTGAAAGAGGTTAGAATATACAGTGATCCACGCGCACACACGCGCACACACGCACACGCGCACACACACGCACGCGCACACACGCCCCTTCTGCAGAAAGGGGACGTCAGCGCGACAGCACGGACAGCAGCTGCACAAGGCCGCAGAGGAGGCGGCTGTGGAGGCGCCTGAAGCGGACCCCCTCGTTTGCATCCGAGTGTGGATGAGGGACAGCCTGGTCTTTAGGGAACACTGAAGCATTTACGGTTAAAGGGCCATCATGTCTGCAACTCACAAAAAGTTTTAAAAGAATGTATATACGTGCATACACACATATATATGTACACACACAAAAAGAGTCAAAAGCAGATAAAATGCTAACATTTGGGTTGTGAGTAAAGAATATAGATGGAAACGTAAAAATATTTTTGCAACCTTTTTCAAGTTTGAAATGATTTCCAAGCGCACTGTCTTCTGAAGCGTGGTGTGCTTTGGACCACTCCTCCCTCGTGCCCACCTTGGCAAACTGGGCGACCTGCCCGGAGGGGCCGGCAGGCCAGCCACAGCTCACGCGGCCTGCGATGCTGCCGTCCAGGCGGACGGGGTCCCTCGCCTGAGGCCTCCCCACAGGACCTCAGTGTCAGCCTGACGCCATCAGGGAGTCGAGCCCCCGGCAGGCCAGCCAGCCCGTGACCCCTGCCCTCTGTGGGCAGTGCGGCAGCCACCGGGAGCCAGTGACAGCCACAAAGCCGAGCCCCTGAGTGTGAGGAAGCGGAGGCCTTTGGCGGTCGGTGGTCCCGTGTGCTAGGAGCTGTCCTTGGTCCCCAGCTGCGGACAGGGAACAAGCATGCAGCCTCTGGTGGGCCCTGCGGCCTGCGTCGGCCTCCATCAGCCTCCGCGTCCTCTTCTTCCCTGGACTCTGAGTTCACGAGCGTGGAAGCCGTACATTTGCCCTTCCTGCCAGCAATCCACGACGCCAGGCTCTGGTGTGTCTACAGGGACTGCCCAAGAGGGACCCACATGGTCACCCTCTTCACCCCGAGTGGCTGGGTCACGGGTGTCTGACAGACAGGCCTCTGAGCAGCTGGTCGCTGACCCTGGGGCCTGCACTAAGCCGTTTGTCTTTGGTTTGCCAGCGGGGGCCGCGCTGGGCGTGTCACATGTCACACACAGCTGTACGGTGACCAGGGTGTCCCTCTTGTGTCTCTGCAGACCATGGAAGGCGTTCAGAAGCAGATCTTCCCGAACTTGAAGGAACTGATCTCCAAGTTTGAGAAGCCAAACCAAGGGCTGGTGGTCGCCCTTCAGAAGCCAATCACCAGAAGCGGCCCGTGCCTGAGTGAGGGGAGGCTCCGGCTGGAGCTGGATGACGTTTACGGTAATGGCGGAGTCAGGGAGCGACCCGAGTCCGGTCCCCAGAGTGGCCCACCACAGCGCCTGCAGGGAGGAGCCGGCTTGCCGGGGGCCCGAGGCAGCCGACATGCTCCGCGCTGGGTGGCTGGGCAGCCTGGGCAGCTGCGGGCGCCTGCTTTCACACAGGGGTCTGGGGACAGATGGACACAGAGGCAGTCCTCAGGTGAGGGAGCTGCTTCCGCTGGTCCCCCCTGTGACGTTCCGTGTGGTACTTATGAAGTGTCCATCCACCTAGCTCTGGGGACAAACTCTGCAGGTGTGCAGCCACGTGGGGACCGTGCGGGGAGCCCACGCCCCTGGACGGCCCCAGGCAGCTATCACACATTGCCAGCTTGGCTGTTTCGTCACTGGGACACTCAGTTACATTCCCGGGGCAGGAGATAGCAGGACCCACTGGCGGCTGAGAGCAGATGACCCGAGGGAGGCGGGCAGAGGACAAGGCGTCCTGGGGACCAGTGTCACCGCCCTGCCGCTAGCCAGACGAGCACGGCCGTTCCTGAGCACAGTGACCTTCCTGTACCTTGTCCCCTTGCTCTGTCCCCCATGCTGGGGCCTGCTCACCAGGTCCCCTTCTGCAAGCTCAGCTGCAGGTGACGCCCTTGGCCACTTCCCGCTGAGACGCAGAGTGACGAGCATGAGGGGCACAGCTAGGACCCCGAAGGCCAGATGGGCCACAGAGGGAGGCGGGGGCCGCGCGAGTTCCAGTGGTGGAGAACGGGGCACGTGTCCCAGAGGGCCCCTTAGAGGCTGTCCCCAAGACCGAGAAGAGAGCGGAGTGTCACCAGCGAGCTGTCTGCTCGTCAGCCCTGCCTACCCCTGCCCCGCACCCCCTGCTGTGGCCTCAGAACGAGGTTCAGATGTCCTCACTGTGGGCATGCCCGGGCTCCCTCCTGTTCCACGTGCTACCCCGCCACTGCAGGCTTCACGCACGTGTGCCAGGGACAGGCCTCGGTGCCCCAGGGCAGGTTGGGGGCGTGAGCGCTGGGTGCGGGGCTCACGCATGGCTGCCGTCTGCTCCCCAGAGAACTGCAACAGCGACTACGTGAAGGTCTTGCCTTGAGGACAAGGGTGACATGTCACCACGGCCCGGCTCGTCCTGGAAGGCTGAGTCCTCGGAGATAAGCAGACAAGGCGACTGCGCCGTCCTGTGTGCCCCGCTGCATGCCGCCAGAAGCTTTGAAGCCTCTTCCACGTCGGGGCAGCTGGAGCCCATCCCCTTGCTGGGTTGTGGCACAGTCGCATGTCACAGGTGACGTCACCTTGGACCATTCAGTCGGGGCGGGGGGTTACAGCTGTGAGGTGCAGCCCGAGTCCCAGGGCTGTGGCTACGTGACATTGGAGGCTGCGCCCCCTCTGGGCCTCATTTCTTTATCTGCGGAACGGGAGGCTGGGTGGTGACACGTGCTGCGCTGCCTCTCTGCTGAGCCGGATCATGCCCGGTGACATGTGCACACGTCAGAAGTGGCCGGGCCCCGCCCCCCGGCCAGTGCTGTCCACCCCACCTGTGCCTCCTGGCCACGGGCTTCTCCCTCCCCACCACCCGGCGACCCGCCTCCTGCTCGCTCCTGGTCCTGGTCTTGCTGGTGGACGTTGCCTTGGACAACCTCGCCCGAGTCTGCCCCTCCCATCGATGTCCCCCCACTCGGCAGCACCGGTGGCTCTGTACAGTGACACACGTGGGCATTTTATGGAGCCGGTGTGGCTCCTGTCCCTGCTGGCTGTGCCTCGGAGCATGGGGGGCTCCCTTGTGTCCTCCTCGGCGTGCACACTCGGCGTGCAGGAGTGACTGACCTCGGTGTGCGGGGGTGACCGGCCTCGGCGTGCGGGGTGACTGACAGTATGCCCACCGCCCAAGGAGACCGCAGCTGGTCTTGGGCCTGGGAATCCTGCCACCCGATCGGACTGTACGGCCGGCGGGTGTGGGGCGAACGGGTGCTGCACCTGCGTCCCACTCCCCACACTGGCCCCGCCTCTCCACGTGACTGAGGAGACACTCTGTGACCAGCACGCGCTGTGGCTGGAGCCCCAAAGGGCGAGCCATCGTGAGCTCCTGCAGCTGCCCCCCAGCAGAGACGGGGATGCGGCCACACTCCACGGACGGGGCGAGCCAGCCCCTCCGGCTGGTGCTGGGACGCACGCCCGAGGCGAGTCCTTGTTCTGTCTGTGTGGTGTGAAGATGCGCGTCAGCGTCCAGGGCCCACGGCCATCCTTGGCATGGAAAATACATCCGGTGATTATTCCCGGACTGGGTGGCCGGATGAATCGCTGTGTCGCACGAGGTCCCCCCCGGGTGGCAGTGGCGTCTGTCCCCTCGTCCTCACTGTGCTGCAGCAGGAACCACACGCATCGAATGCCGATGCCACGCCGTCCCGTCGCCTAACGCAGCCACGCTGCTCAGCGGCCACTCAGCGGCCGGCTTCAGGGAGTCGACGCTGCGCTTCAGATTTCTGCATGAAAACTCATAAACTCGGTGGAACGCAGATTTACGGAATCGTGACGGAATCATACAAGGCCGTCTTCCTCCTTTGCCTATTTTCGGCGTCACCTTTGTAAGGTGCGGTGATCCGCCCCTCGAGAGCTGGCTGGAGTTCTTGCAAGGCCGCCTCCGAGGCTCTGGCGAAGAAGGGGAGACGTCTTTTATACCTCCTTGAACACCCCTGATTCTCACTGGTTTGTCCAGCTATTTTGCCAGTTTCGGCACCGTGTGTTCCAGGACTTTATCTACTTTGTTTCCTCCTGAGACTCTTCTAGCGTTTTAAAGCTGTGCTGTGGCTGAGTCGCCTCCTTCGCTCTGTCTGTCTGCGGCTCACTTTTCGATCAATCAGTTCTCTGCGTCTTAGTGGCCCCTTCGAGGCCAGCTTTGGTTCT